AATCCTGTTTAGGTATTCTGGACCCTGAAAAATTATATTCAAAATATTATATAAACATTGTTCTATGCTAGCTATATATTTATTATTGTAGGGGTTTCTGATCTGGTTTTTTGTTTGTTTGTATTTTCTTTGGGTGAGGGTTGTTGGGGTTTTTTTAAGCTTTGAATCCTTTATAGTATTCACCACAAATTTAGGTTGATTTTAACCTTCTGCAGTGACTACTGCAAAGCTTCTCAAAGTTTACACTATAATGCAGTCAATGTATTTATAGTTCTTGAAAATGTCACATGGCAATGTTATGCCAGGGACAGCACATCTCAGAGACTCTTTAAGATGTCTGCATTGTTGTATTCTATTTGTAGAGGCATTTTTGTCAGTGGCAATGAAGAAACAGAGCTGCTGCAGCAGCTTTTTCAATAACATTCAGGCTTATAGTTGACCCAACGGGCTCACATTATGACATCCATCTTTAATTTAACAATAAATCATATTTTCATGGACTACAGCATTGCATTATAACCTCACTGTTTTATGTGTATGGGAATGCAGCAAAAGCAGGCGAGTACGTATATACAACACAGGCTAAATGTTTAGTTCATGAGAGCAAGGTCAAAGTGTAGATTAATGACAATATATGAAAGGTTTTATAACAACTCTTAGAAGTCTGAGGGGGAAAAAAAAAAAAAAAAAAAAAAGACAAAAAAAAGCTATCCAGAAGGGTCTGCATTTAACTTTAGATGCATTTTTAAAAATTTCTCTTAACTGCACCACCTTGCTTACTGTCAGTTTTAGTTCTGCTCTGCACTTCCCATTGCAGTCAGCATTCTCTGTATCTCATTTTCTCTTCTGCTTCATTCAAGCATATTTAAGGAGAAAATTAACACCCTTTGAATCTTGAACTTTACTCATCCCATTCTCCTTGCAATAATTTCTCCTGTTTGCCCTGCATTTTTTTACTGCCAACCTTCTAGCTGATTCCAGATGAAATGTTCATATGTTTTCTATTTACTCCAAAATGCAGCCCTGCTTGTTCACATTTACTTATGTCCATCTCCCTCTTATTTGCCTCTGCCTGTTTCACAACATATTATCCTCAACTATTTCTATTCCTACTAACTTCAACTCTTTCCAGTGCCTACTTCTTGCAGCCCTCTGCAACCTAAAACACAATTAATTCTTTGCTCCCCATCAGCATTATTAATAATCTTATACCATCCAGATTACAGAATAACAACTTCTCTCTTCTCCGTCATCTGCCTTTGGTGATAGTTTACCCAGTATTTGCACTGCTCTCTTGCATAGACTTTGTGAAACTCTATTACCCCTTTTAGAAGGTTCCACTTTTCAAACCTATATAGTATCAATGACCTTTTCATTGGCAGCCTTCATCGCTGGTCTAGATGTCATCCTTAACATATGTTACAAAAAATTAAGAAATAGCAACTGTAGCAAAAAGCATTTCACTACTCCGATCCATGTTGCCTTTTTACCTCTCATCCAGCCTTCTCTTTGTCATCTCTTAATGCATTGTGTCTAAATTAGATTTTCAGTTACTTGACGAAAGAATACATCATTTTCATTTATCTGTAAAGCACCATTCATGCTTATGATTCTGTAGAAATGCTAAATATGTATATTCACATTTATGAAAATATTGATTCTTTAATCTATACACAAAGTGCAGAGGCAACATAGCAGCAGTTGTATCCTTTTAAACAGTATTTTTCATCTCTAAAGTCTATACCATCATATATTTATTGTAGCTGCATATTGTTTGCTCTCTTGTTTCCTAGTTCTTTCTTGTGTTGCTTTTTCTGGTCTTATTAGCCGATACTGCCCAGAAATTAAAAGTCTCAGTTTTCTCTGACAGCACAATTTCTTTTTTTCTAAAAAAAAAGCATAGGAGAAACATGCAGTTGTTTTATTAGTCATCCATAATGTGCAATCACAGTCTTAGTGGGTGAAGGTTGCTGTACCAACTCAAAACTACACCTGCTCTCCAAAATCTTATAATTTAAATAGTCCTAATGACAGAAAAAAATTCAGTAATTTCGGACATTCTGGCTACCTAGCTTGAGAGGCATTGAAGTATCTGATTTTCAGAGTACTAGAACACAGAACTTTCTAAAATGCAAAGTCCAGAAAAGGGAAGAACCTTATTATTTTGAAAACTTCAGCTGATAAAATCAACATAATTAGTGCAAGCATGTGTTCTAAAAGCTAGGATGGTTTTTAATGCAAAAGATAAAAATGAGGATACTATCAATCCAATTATAACATTTTAAAATATTTTTTTTAACAAGTGCAGTAACAGGCCATAGATATACTCTCGTCTGTAGTTAAACATTTATTTCTTGATTAGACAAAAAGTAAGCAGGCATGCCCAAATCCCACAGCAAAATCCACACAGGCCCCTATCATGACCCAGAGCTCATTGCATAAGTGAGCCGGTACTAATAATTTCAAAAGTTATCAAAAGATAAGGAAATATTGTAGAGTAGACACTGTATGCAGAGCAATTAAACTATTCTGCTTCACATAGCACTTAACAAATGGTTAAGCATTTAAGCATTGACCAAAGTGTTTTGCAGGATATCTGAGCTGAAAAGTTGAAATGTGTTGCTCATTCATGGGTCAGTAAGTAAGGAGTGGTCTTAACAAACTGTTTACTCAGAGTAAACTCAAGTTACATGGCATTTCTTCATAAAGTGCCTTACAGGGGATGGATTTGATATTTATAGTATCTTTGCATACAGAGACCTGTTTCAACCAGTGTTTTATCAGTGTTGGATGAAACTGCCAGCAATGTGCACTTGCAGCCCAGAAAGCCAGCTGTATCCTGGGCTCTATCAAAAGAAGCATGGCCAGCAGGTCAAGGGACATGATTCTCTCCCTCTACTGTGCACTCATGATACCCCACCTGGAGTACTGTGTCCAGCTCTGGAGCCCCCAATCTAAGAAGGACATGGAGCTCTTTGAGTGAGTCCAGAGGAGGGCCACAAAGATGATCAGAGGGACAGGGCACTTCTCCTGTGAAGACAAGCTGCAGGATTTGGGGTTGCTCAGCCAGAAGAGAAGGCTCACTATAGTGGTCTTCCAGTATCTGAAGGGGGCCTACAAGAAAGGTGGGGAAGGACTTTTTACAAGAGCATGTAGCAAAGGGAGAACGGATAATGGCCTAAAACTTGAAGAGGGGAGATTTAGACTGGACATTAGGAGGAAATTCTTTGCTGTGGGGGTGATAAGACACTGCCAAAAGTTGCCCAGGGAAGATGTTGAAGCCCTAGAAGTATTCAAGGTCAGGCTGGACAGGGCTCTGATCAATCAGATATAGTGGGAGATGTCCCTACCAATGCAAGGAGGTTGGATAGAGATGATCTCTAAGGTCTCTTCCAACCCTAACCATTCTATGATTCTATGATTGAACATTTTTTTTACTGGTTTAAATGACAAACAACAATCCAACTTAATGTGAAATCGTATATATAACCAAAACTATGCAAGGCTGCTCTGATAACATTCAAGACAAACACATATTTAAAAGCTTTGTGACACATAAAAAATGACAAAGGTTTCTTTTACCCAACTTGCAATGTCTTTCATACAGGCATCTAGCCTCAGAGCCTCACAGATAGGCCCTTAATTTCCTTACTATGCATGAAGAGAACTGTGTCAATGAATGCACTAAGGTGTGATTCATCACACCTACTCTAAATGTTTACTTTAGGATAAGACATTGAACATTGTAAAACAACTAGATTTTGTAAATGAATCTCATTTCATTAAACAGTGTGGATCGACTGTTTGTACATTTCTTTACATCTTCAGAGAAAGTCAATTCCAGATATCCTGCCTACAGCTTTATAAGTAAACAAAACAGGGTCAATGGACTCACTCAAAACCCATCCCTCAATAGTCTGTGGACCTTTATTTTTACTCCTTGACAAAACTGCTGTCTAATGCCAACTATTACTCTCCAGATAAGGCTTGGAGCCAGATGTGGGACAGACTAGGAAGTGCTGTCCAAAGGCAGCTAGATGACGGTCTGCCTGCTTCAGGTAGAAGCAGGCCCTACTGTTTGGTTTCTGTGCCAGGAACTGGCCCTTTGCATCTTCTGCTTGAAAAAAAAAAAAAGCTAATTGTCATGGACAGCCAGTCTACATTGCAATTTAAATTAAAAGGAAGTAGATAGAAAGGTAGCTTTTAAATTGCAAGGAAAGTAGGGCTAAAATAAAGAATACAAGCATAGCAAAAGTAAAGAAGCATGAAGATGGAAGAATGGCTACAAAAAACCTATTAAACTATAAGACATTCATTACAGTGATTGCTTTGGACGAATGTAACAGGGATACTAGCTATTATTTAAATGAACAGGCATTTAAAAATACAGTGGACTTAATACATAACAAGAAGACCTACTCCCTGTTAAATACCTCTGAGAATACTACCAAGAGAAGAAAGGTAGGGAAAAAATTTCTGGAAGAAAAGCTAGCTTTGCTAGTGCTGAAGACTTTTGGCCATCCTGACATTAAGGCAGAAGCTGAGCTTTGATGACTTAATGGCACCTTATAGGAATGAATACAGGAATGAACACAGGCCTCATTGTGTATGGGAGTTGGTATTCTGTAAGGATATTATGAGATGTAATGGTCAGGTTTTCAGGTGCACTCCATTTCACATCCTTCACAGTGAGAAGTATGAACAATAAGAACTTTTGAGGATCAATGTAGTTGTTTTGCTCAATGAAGACCTATGGATCTACAAAACCAAGTTCAGAAATTACCTACATAGCACCTTTTCATCTCTTTTTTTGCCACAGTAGGAAGAGCTGGATTAAAACTACTTGCTTTACTTTCATCTAAACATACATTTTTTTCCTAATCACATCACTTTACTCCAATTTACATGAGTTTCAGCTTCAGAAATCATTGGTCACTGCTGAATGCAAATAAGCACAAAGTAAAATTAGATTAAGTTTGCACAATTGCTCTTTCATTATTTTAAATGGTACCTTTTAAAATTTCCTGTAAAATCAACCTGAAATGCTCCCATCTTTGACTGTCATCAAGCAGGGTCACTTTGGGAAGATCCATTCTCAGTGATGTAAATTATGGAGTTATTGTATGTATCCTAAAACAAGAGAGCAGAAGTTTTATTCAGAACAGATGTAAGAAAGGCCATAAAATCAGATGCATTACCCTCTATCTTTTCTAAGCTACAAACTAAAACTAGTTTTCGTCAAATTGCACTGACCCTATTAACTTAATTTTCCATGAGCTGACCTTTTATGACTAACAATGGGAAAGCAAAACAGTGCAAATACCCATGAAGACAGTGAAATGACTTATTTTAATGAGAAGACTAAAATAACTTCCCTGCATTAACATCTGCTTATTGTCACTGCTCCTTAACCCCTTGGTACTGGCAGTCACCACACATCCCATTGCCAACAGTAGATGCGTGCCAGGAAAACCTTACTGCTGGCATCAGGAAGATAATTTCTGGAGTTTGAAATATGATATAACACTGTTGTGTCATTTCAAATTGTAAAATAGCTATCAAGTATAAAGGCAATGGAAAAATACTAAGGCTTCCACTTTTTATAGCCAGCATGCAAAAATTAAATAAAGAATCCCAAGATGACTTGTTTATTTATGTCTTGTACAATGTCTAACGCCATCCAGATGGGGTCCTCAAAAAAAATCTATTAAAAAGCAAGTAAATAAATAAATAAACCAGTATTACTTATTGGATTCTGAGATCCCCTCATCACAACAGTGTCAGGCTTTAGCACGAGCTTTTGTCACATTATAATCTGCCTTGTAACCTCTGATTCTAATTCTGGGGCTATAACGGTTTCACAATCACCTGTAGTAACAACATAAAGTGTCATTAACAATGATCACTCATTCTCCAAATGTTCTGAAACAATATTTTGCATCAATGTCAGAGGTCTCAAGGGTCTTTTCAGATCTTAATCCACCTTCATCTTGTACGGACTGAGGTAAGCCAAAGTGATACAGTGAACAAGATGTCATTTCCCAGGTTATTAAAGATTGCTGGAATAATTGGCTCCTGAAAGTATTAAAATAAAGAGGGGGAAAAAAGGGTTAACTTAATAGCTTTATTACATTTTAACACATGAAGAAAAGCCCACTGCACATTTCCCTGTTAAGAGATGCAAATATTTCCTCTCAACTGCATGCTGACTACTGTTACAAGACCCCAGAGTTGGCAAAACTGCTCAGCACACAAAATCTTTCAACCGGGCACATAAAGTGAAATGAGGATGCAAATTTTCAAAATAGATCAGTGGACAGTAACTCCCCAGAGGAAACATAATTCTGATGGGTGCTGGTCACATGAAAATATAATCCTTTCTTTTAAATGCCTGGATGGCAGTCTGGCTGCATGTACAAGATGAAAGTGTGTTGGCAAAATCCTGACACCTGAGAGTCTGACAGGTAGATTTGTTCTAATGAAAGCATTTCTGTTCTTGAGAACTGTGTCTTTTAAAAAGTGTAGTGCCACACTCAGCAAGGTAACTAAGCTGATCTTTTATGATTTGAACTTGGGTAGCTGGGTGAGCTGTTTTCTCGAGACTGTTCCTTTCTCCGTCACTGTTTGTGCCAGCAACAAGACAAAGAAGATTGTCAATGTCTTCAGTATTTTGCAATGGTGTGAATTCAATGGTTCCCTTATTAGCCAGGTTGTCTTACCAGATCTATATGACACTTAAGGCTTTTCACTGTGCTTTAATAGATTTTAGATGGAGTTTAGGGCACTGATCTCTTTAGCCACTAACTTTAACGGCTTGGCAATACTTTATCCAAGAAACCAACTCTCTTCTTTTTACACTGCCACTGCTACAGACAGCTCAGACCCTCTGCCTGCAAGAAGGAATTAGCTCACCTCTCTGAAAGCTCATGACTTCCAACCTTTCTTGTCCCCCTTGATAAGACAAAGATCAACTTTAATTTCCTGGATGTGTTGTTAAAGCTGGCCAGTACTGGGGATGTATTTCTAGAGGCTTAAGAGGAATTCAACTTCTGTTCAGATTTAGCAGTGGCTGACACGAATACGTTTCCTAGAGGACTATTTTTATGCTGCTGAGAGGTCACTGTAAGTTTAAATATCAGTATACTTAAACTCTTGTATAACTATTTTTAATTTTTTGCTTACACCCAAACACAACTACATTGCTTTTAAGCCTTCTGAAAACAGTAGATACTGGAAACCACATCATAATATCTAGATCAAAGAATATCAGTTAGTCTGCCCTTTTACTCACTATCTGGTTTAGTGCAGTAATTGGAAAAGGCCAATATTGGCTTTGAATTAGTACTTGTTAAGCTAAGAGTCTCCAGCGAGGAACAGGTTTCCTTAAGACTGGTGGAATGTAGAAATCAGTCAGTCTTTGCTTCAGAGACTTGGGTTACATATATCAAAGTGTTTAAGAACCTTATAAACCTAAAATTTATAGAAACTTTATGGGTCTTAGAATACCATGTATCCTAATAAGACATAGGTGCTCATGAAATGTCTATCCCAAGGCCTCACTGTATTGAAATTGGGAACTGAAAGATGTCTAAAGAAGCTGGGAACACAGCAAAAAGGAGGAAGAGGAGAACTAAGTTGCAAAGGATAACAAAAAGTGTGCTTAGGAGGTTATGTATGGTTTAGATTACTATTCTTAATATTTTCTGAACAACAGATTTTGTTTAACCCAAAGCAGGAAAGTTGTCCATTAGCAAATATTTTATTGTACTTTAACTTCCCTGGTATTTTCAGGTTCAATCTGCTGTGTACTGGTATTTAAAAATGCCAACACCAATCCCCATACTACCTTCTTCTTAAAAGGACAATATTAGAGTTCAAATTAACTTAACTTCAGATGACTGATCATAAGGATTTCTGTTGAATGGCTTTTTTAAGACAACATTGACTGCAGCAATTGATTATGAACCTCAGATTTAGATAGTGCCTTCTTGTAAACAAACAGGTGCATACACATCCTTTAGCACAGCAAGACTCAATAAGTTTGTTTCCAAAGTAATTCACAATAAATCTCACAGATAATTTGCTTTTCCTTCCAAATGCAGCACCAGAAATATACATTACATTCTGAGGATATACATGCCTGTGCCTGCGAACGCACTCATGTCAAAGAGGAAAGAATATACCAGACCTTTAAATTTTGAAAATAAAATTCTTGCAATTAGCAAGAGCATTTAGAGGCAAATACAGTTTGATACTGTTGCTTTTGGACAGGGACCTGTTTGACTTCAGTGGATGTGTGTTAAATGCTTGCTGGTGGGACTGCAAGGCTTACTACGTAAGCTTAAACTGGGAAAAAAGAAATTCTTGACTTATATGGGATCCTGTTCTGCCAGATTCAGAGAATGCCTAGAATACACTCGCATTTCCCATTCTAATTTTCAGATTATAAATCACTTGGTACAATTTATAACATTTAAGTGCAACCAGCTATCATTATTTTTTTACATCTCAATTACACACCCATATTTGAAAAGATTTATGCTTCATGTTAGGAAATTATGAGAAATATAACTGCATTCCTGAAAAATGTAATTCACAAATCAGATTTCCACATTGTCTCGTACCTTCCAGAGTAGTATGATTTACATTATATGGCTGAATCTGTGGGTCAGCTGGAAGCACAAATACAGAAGAAAACATTCTCCTAAGTAAGAGTCTATATAAGGGTTCTGTGGAGACATAAAAAAAAATTTGGATTACAGACATTAAGGAGGATTTTGCCACTGGAAAGTGAGGGATTGCCCTTTTCTCCTTTCTGGCATCGTCTCTCTCCATCCTGATGCTGTACCTTCATGCAGAAGTAAGGCACAAAATCTAACACTCCCAGGTTCAATGCCCCCACACCTACTCCTTCTGTCCCCTGCCACACTGACACTCAGTGTTTGGCAGCTAACTTGTTCTGGTCAGGGAACCTCCCAGGGTAGAAATAACTGTACAAAAATACTTTAAAAACAAACTTGGTGAAAGTCTTAACCAAAAACCTGACATGTCTTGGGAACAATACACCTACAACATCACTGCTTTTAAAGACTCTACCCCCACCAAGTCAGAAACAGAATGGTTTTAAAGGTTTTCAAATGTCCTATGTCTTAGGTGTGAAATTGCTAGTGAATCAGTTGGTGTGAATGATTTTATTTGAAAGGACATTGCTCTAAGCTTTCTAATTCTTCACATGCTCTTTGTAAAAATGTTTATATAGAAGATGATGGCCTTTCCATGCTATGCAGTTACAATTGCTTCAACAGATCACTGCACAAGAGAAGTGAACTCCTGCCTAATGAAAGCTGGCCTACTTGGAGTTCCTGCAATGCCCTTTTGCTAAATGTAAAGTTCATAATATTAATCAGGCAACTGCTTATACTGGGGATCAAGTGAACATTTTCTGAAATTACAGCTGAGTTTTGTCAAAATGTTAGCTTTCCTTACAAAATGCATTAGAATGTCTGCCTCTGCTCTGATGTCTAACTAACAAAGCCCATTCCGTAGGCAGCTCTGTGGGGCCATACAGGGTCTGCAGCCCTGTATGGAAGGAATATTAGTACAGGAAAGAAACCACAAGGACTCAGCCAAATTTAAATTCAAGACACCACAAAAAAGTGTTCCTAGAGAAGGGCAAGCTGTGCCAGTGAAAGTGGGCCACATATTGTAAATTTTGGTGGCAAAGGAAAGGCTTCCATTCAAGCCTCTCCAGGATGCTGGCACGGTTTTTGCAATCATGCTCTGCTGGAGAAAATGGCTAGTTGGTCTGTTTACAGCTGATTCACCAACCCTCCCTTTGTGGATTTTTGAAACAAAAGCTCCTTCACTCTCTGGTGAAAACCATAATCTGCAGGATGCAGGAGACAGTCTTCTGCCTATTGAACAGCTGAACTCTACATGACCAAAATTCTGCAGAAGAATATTGCTTCTGCTGTTATCCTCCTACTACAGATCAGGATAACTTTAAGAGCATTTTCTAAGGAATCCTATCTTTTTGTAGCCTTCCATCTTAGCAATCTTCAAACCACTGGAAGAACAGACTTGCCAAGCAAACACTGTCCCAGAAGTACAAGCGTATTTATCTTCTTGGTGTAACTGAGATTCAGAAAAGTAGGAGTCAGAATTGAGACTCGGAGGTTCATCCAATTCTACTTTTCTTTTTTCTCCTCAGAACATTACCCTCCCGACATATAATAGGCTTCAGCCAACTACTTTGGTGCTTCTAACCTGTCTGATTCAGCTTCAGTTGTTTTTATTTTTCACAATTCTCTTTATTTCTTCTTTTTTCCATTCCATATATTCTGCAGGCCAAGCCGCCATTTCCTAGCAAGACACCTTCATTTTCTCCCCAGTCCATATCAATGGAATTAAAATAAACAAATTAGAAATGTAACACATTTTGGATCTGACTTCTAGCAATCTGGCCAGCTTGTGATGTATTCTTTTCCACTTTTACACTGTCTGCTGAGGTTGTGAAAACTCTTCAGAGCAAGAACTGTGTTTTGTTTGTCAGAGAACTAGCCATACGTGCCAGCTGAGTGTGAAAAATCCACTCTAATTTGCTAAAGGAAATATCTAGGAAAAGTATGCACCTTTTAGTGTAAAATAGTGGAGGCAAAGTTCAGTATATCAGCATACACTAATAAACTATCTAAATACATTTGCCAAATAAGATACCTGTCTATTGTAAGCCATCCAAAAATATCCTCATGGCTAGGATCCTTATAAGTGCAAACATTCTGATGAAGCAAAACGATTTAGAGTTACAATTAAAAAAAATGGAGTAAGCAAAAAGATACATAGGAAGCATAGTAGTAATCCTATCCCAAAAGATTATGCTATCCAAGGGGATCTGGAATATTAATTAGTAAGTTGTTGCAAACCTATAAAAATCATCCTATAATTACTCTGAAAAAAGTTGCAATTTCAAAGCTACACTGCAGAATAGCATACTGGATTAATTATGCCAGACTGCAGCAATAACCTTGAATTAAAGCTGCAACCTTCTATTTTTAAGGAACAATTGCCTTTCTGGTTGATGAAACCTGTCGTCCCATCAGGTAACAGACGTGACCAGGAAAGAGAAAAGCGATAATGAGTCAATCCAAGCTGTTTGATACATTTCAAATCTTCCTCCCACAGAGTGTAGCTGCCACAAGCTACATCACCAGTCTGGTTCTTGAAAACTCGATCTCTTCCCTGATGGGTGAATGTGTCCCAGACATTAGGGCCCTATCCATCTGCATTCCAGCCTTCTGCTTGAAAAACAAAACTTGTTTGTTATACTTTTGACATCAAAAGACATATGTTGAATGCAAATATTTATCACAAAGTAAGCACAAACCCCTCAAAATCCTATGAGCGAAGTGAGCAGTATTCCCTCCCACACTCCTTGTATCTTTTGAACTAACTGGGAAATTTCAAACATGAGTACATATTTGTATTAGGTTTTGTATTTATTAATATTTTTGCTTGATGATAATTATTTGAAAATTCCATTTTATAAAGCATCTGGAGTTCTGACACTCTTCATATTTTCTTAGCCAAAAATCAGATGTTTGCAATTCTTGAGATATTACAGGTTTTTGCAAAGTGATTTTCTAATGCAACTTCCATCCATGAATGTAAAAGATTAGTCCATATCAAAGAAAGCCTTTAGGATATGAGAAATACATTCAACAAATAGACACTTATGGATTTCTGGATGTCCTTTGAAAATCCTGACAGTCTGTTAAAAAGAACGGAATGCCATTATGTGCCAAGGCCCTAGGCATATACACAGCTTCACAAAACTTCTGTTTTTTCTTAGCCAAATGTTCACAGAAAAGAATTCTGAATGCTCAAAATCTCAGCACCATTTTCTTCACTGTCATAATTTTGGGAAATTTCTTTGCAAACCACAATTAAGATAGACAGATTACCTTTAAAATATTCAAATTTACCTGTTTGAGGTTAGACAGTATTGACATTACATAGTATTTAAACCAAATAAATGCCCCTTTCTTCATGTCAAGCTTCTTCGTCTTTCCAGAGCAACGCTGTAACTGAGGTAAATATTTAATTTGTATATGTGGAGAGCTTTGTAAACTTACAATGTTGCAAAGTGTGAATTTATCGTAATATTACAAATAACCCCAAAATGGCCAGCATCATTTAAAAGCAAGATGTTTCACAGTCTTAGTGAACACATTGTTCCAGGGTTACTCTTTAAAAACTAAAATGACATTGTGCGTTAAAATCATGTATAAATTAAATATCAGTTGAGTTGTAAGATTAATAACTATATAATAGCTACATATCAATCCTCAATAAAAGTGTTTTAATAATCAATTAGTATCATAGAAATTAGAGATGGAGGAGAACTATTAGGAGGTCATTGAGTCCATCCCCTGCCAATGCAAGATTGCTCCCTTAAGTATATTCAGTACTTAATACACATCTGTCTTATTAAATCTAAGTTTAATGCAAGGTTAAGCATATTGAAGACACTTAATTTAAAGCATTACTAAAAATTGTAATATCACTTCTATAACCTAGCTTTTCAAAGATCGTTGTCACATCTCATGTTCTTTACAGAATTTTATTGCAGTACACGGACACCAATACCTCCACAATTGGTTGGTCAGTAAATTAAACTCTTACATGGTACAACCTTCAAAGTAGGTCAAATTTTAGATTCAGACAGTTGGAGTTTCTCTTAATCTCAGATTTTATCCCAGCCTTTGTTTGTCTGTATACTCTTCAGAGAAATGCGGTACTAAAAGTTTTCTATATCCTGCTTCTGATTTCAAGTATGCCTGTTGAAATAAATAGTAATTTTAGAGGAGTGCAGGAAATAACAAATAACAGTAATTTTTTGGTGGTACCTAGAATTTAGGAGCCTTTTAAGAGCAGTCTTTCCACACCATATTGATATGACACAGCTCCTTTTTCACTACGATGGGAGCAAAGGGAAGTCAAAAGCTGCCATGATGGGCAGCTAACACACCTTCATTTAAGAATCAGCAGCTGGAGCACATCCTGAACAATTTCTTTTGTTGTCTGCCTTCCTCCAGCAAAGGCAGTGGAGGGGAGGGGAAGAAGCATTTGATTTTCAGCAGTATATAACAGTACTACTCCAGTGGTCATTAGCCACTAAACAGCCCTGACTGGGGCTGTGGCAAACAAACCCACTTTCAAGTACCCTCATGCTGTTTGAAGAGCCTCTCTGTACTCTGCAGAGTATCCAAGCTAGATAAATAGAGTGTAGAAGCAATCTAGCCTAGGCAACAGAAAGCTCCACACACTGATGAGTCCTGCTGAGCCACAATTAGTCTGCACAGATCTCTGCTCCGCTTCAATAAACCAAGCTTGCACCTCCAAGCTTGCTCAGAAACTTTCACACTACACAGCATTTGACAGTCTAGAGACACCCTGAGTTTTGGTGAGCTTCAGGGCCAGGAAGAATAGTGATGAAGACTTGATTGTACATTTCAAATACGTAGGCAAATCTTAGCTACCAAACCTTTACATGATATCATCAAGTTATTAAGATAAATTAACATGAAATGTGATGCATGTTCCCCACTCTCTGCAGTTATTGCAATGTCATAAGACAGAATGTTTTTACTTTCAGGTGAAGCTAGTGAAGCAGGAATATTATGGATCAAAGTATTTCAGTTTTCATGTACTTTTCCAAGTTATATTTTCTTCTAATTAAGTTGTGCTTTCACCTTTCAGGGTGAAATTTTCTTGGCCTGGTCTCTGCCCAAAAAGTTAAATTTTGTTTGAATTAATGTAGTTCAAGTATTTGGCATATGAAAGAAGAGAAGAAAACCTCTGTTAATATTACAAGAATCTTTTTGCAACTTTTCCCTCTCTTAAAAAAAAATAAAAATTATAAAAAAATAAAGCAGAGAGTTGAAATTTAGCATAGAAATGGCCCTCAGTAAGAAGAAGTGCTTTTGAGTGTTCTGGTGCAAATTGATTTTGATTTGACTGAGTCATGAACCTTTGAAATCTGCACTTTGAGCCTGCCGAGTACAATTGGTATGATTTTTTAGCACTTTGAAATATACAGAGTGGAGAAGGTTGTGCTGTGCATAAATACATAGCTGACAGTAAAAAATAATATAGCCTGTCAGCCCTTGCCTCATCCAGTGTGTATCTTGTGATATGTGCAGCAACTGGGTTTGGATTCTATCAGAACTATTGCTTCAATCATGATGCCTGGAAGTTGGAAGCTGCACAGCTTCCAAGCTTTTCAGTAGGAGGAATTCCCTGTTGAGTTTCTTATTTCTGTGGGAAAAGGGTCATTTGAGTAGTGTCTAGACCACATTATAGATTTTTATTTTTTTTTACATTTCTCCCACTCAGAAGCTTTAGGAAAGCTCATTAAAAACACATTAAGAGAGCATTAAACTTGCACATCTAGCCACTAAAAAGGCAGGAAATTATAATGCCATTCTATATGCACACACAATTCACATTTTAACAATTAGTTAGTAGAGCTACATGAATGCAGGACTCGAGTTAGAATCTGGCCCAGAATATTGATTGCTCAGGAACAGCAGGCTGTTCAGTCTATTAGGTGAAGCTAACTGAGCTTGTTAAAAGGTACCAAGCATGGGCAAGTACCCTTGCTTTTAGCAGTAACCAAGAACTAAAGGCTACATCCTCAAAGGCAATTTTAGATCTACAGCTTCCATTTAGGTACTGAAATCAATGTCAGTTAAGTGCCTTTATGCTGCAGGGTATAATATGAGAAAATCAGATCTATATGTGTTGTTAAAATCTCTAAAAACGCAATTAGGAAACGATAAAGTTTGGGAAAGTTATGGATGTAGGAGTCCCTGTACCTTGTGGGTTTATATTCCCTAATCTGCTACCTATTTTCATATTGTGCTTTATCAGGACCTCCACTCAGTTGGAAACATGCTACATGTCCCTGTGAGAGGCCCTCCATAAGCCCAATATTTAGCCTCTCAGTTCAGCATTTCTCATACTCTTTGGAGACAAATTTCTAATGGAGGACCCCTTGTGAGTACCAGTGTCTGATGAGGTAGTACTTGCATCTAGCCAATAGTGATCTACTTACAATAGCTCTAGATAAAATAAACACTCAAGAACTAGCTGGAAAATTATTTTTATCTGCTTTTTTTTTTTTGCCCCACTTTCAATACTTGTGAAAAGTTGCTCCTCCATTTCAATTACTTTACATTTCCCTTCCAAGCCAGGGGTGTTCAAAGGGAACTACACAGATTTGTATCAGATGTAGCATCTCTGTAACAAAGCAAAGATCAAACATTCTGCTTCCTGGATCCAGACTTTTTATTCACTTAAAAGTTCCTTAATGCTTTGGCAGCTAAAAATTGACACCTTCAATTTGATATGCTGCTGTAGCTGCACCCCAAGCAAATCCAAGTGGAAAAGCAATATCCTGTGGCACTGGCTCCAGGGGACAGGCAAATACACAACATTATGTGATGCTATGGAGATGAGGGCTTGATTTGCAGACAAGCGTTTCTGGCTTAATCACTCTTCCACTTGTTGCAAGCAGATTCTGTAGTGAAGACAAAAATAAACCCTGTGCAGCATCACACACTGAAGGGCAAGCCATGCACTTTGCATATCTCAGGATTAAAGCGGAGAGGTTCAGTCAGCTAACAGTGAAAGTGGAAAAGGCAGCTGTGGAAAAGGCTAGGGTGGCCATGCTAAAAGGACTCCACCTCATAAAAAACATTACTACACAGAGCAGGACCTTGTTCCCCTTCATGTCTCTCCAGCTCCCACCTGCCAGCCAAAGGACTTTGTGGTCCCTCTACTCAACATAAATCCTTTAGTCACCAGGCAAAGAGTAATTTCCACTCCTTTCTGTTAACTTCAAAAACCAGCAGCACCTCTTCTTTTCTGGCAGCAAGTTTTTGTTTTTTCTTCCCCAAAACAAAAACAACTGGCCTGCAGTAGGGAAGAAAGGATTTTTTTAGCCATTACACATTTGCAGTGGAAACCAGCGAGAAGAAGAGGAAGATTCATATGGGAGTACAGTCAGAAGAGCTATCTTTCTCCTTCTTTAAAATCCCATGGATAATGATTTTTTTTTTTTTTTTTTTTTTTCTGGAGCAGCAATGACAATCTTATGGCATGTGTGCCAGAATCAGCATCTGCAGAACATCCCTCAGGTCTCTTTCTCCCTTCTGTCGATGCAGTTCCTGCTGTCCTGTCAGCAGCCTGAGAAGGGAGCAGGAATAGAAAGAGAAGCCAGGGTATGACTGTAACAAGTGGGATGGGCTGAAAGTAGTTTACTGTCCCTTCCCACAAGACTATGACACCTGGTACACTAGATGGCACTACTGCTACCGGTTTGTTTTTGTTTGTTTGTTTGTTTGGGTTTGTTTTTGGTTTTTTTTTGTTGTTGTTTTTTTACTTACCGTTCTTGCTGTATTTATTTCCACTTTGCTTTTGCCAAGGTCATTATCTCCAGTTGTTGGGCTCCTAGGCAAGAATGTATGATCAGCATTATTTTTACATCTTGTCTGCTTTTCTTGCGCCTTTTTGCTTTTGAAATCTTTCTGGGTGAGGACCTACTCTTGCAAAACATTATACACCTGAGTGATATTTTCTTTCATAATGAAAGTAAGATAAACATTAACACATAGAAAAGCCACTAATATGGTTGATGCACATACTTTTTCGTAAACCCTCACAATGGAAGAGTAATTTATTAGGAAAGAAAAATCCTTTGTAGAGATACAGAGAAACTGATTTAATTCCAAAATGTCAATTTCAGAACCAGACAGTGCAAACACAATGCAAAAAAAATCAGGCTTTCACAGCAGGTGTGCTTTTCCTCAAGTGGCTTTCAAAGGAGTATAAAAGCCCCTTGAACACAAAGGAACAAAGGGGCAGATAAGACACAACATACCAGCTTGTTCCCAAAACACATGCTGACACATGATCTAGGCAAACATATATGTCCTTTACCTGGTTTAGTCAGACGACCAAAACTGGATGCTATGAACTAGTTAATGTTTTCTGGTTGAAGCAGCTTCCTCAGGCTTTCATTTGCTAGAAGGCAAGCACTGGACAGTTAACAGTAAAACTCATCAGGAACATCTTAAATCGTGATCAATAGGTATTAATGAACCGGAGTAATAATGCATAATTTTTACATCATTAACTGTTATGGGTAGGTACCTTTGAAAACTTAAGTGACATTAAATCTTTTCCCAGAAAATCATACCATTCAATTTCACAAGACATATAATAAATATGTAACTCAATAATAGGGGGAGAGCAGCAGACAGGAGATAGTAGCAATAAAAACCCAATAAAAACTTTTATTAAAATGCTTAACAATAAAAACAAGGCTAAAAAGAGTCACTGCTGATTCCCTGGCAGGAATCAACACAGACAGAGATAGGTTTGCAAAGAAATCGAGTGGGAGGAAAATATTCCATAAGCAGTCTGGGGAAGAGTGAACAAAATTTCCCTCGGAGGTTAAGGCAGATTCTCAGTAATGAGATAGCAGGCTATGTCAGATAAGTAGGCAGATACTGCAAGATGCAGAGCTTCAAAATTCAGAGTAGTTGCATTTATAGCAGCTAATCTCAAACTTTTCTGGCAACCCAATTTCTAGATTTGTGAACTCACTTCTAGTTTTATTTCCAGACTCATGAACCCACTCCTTATTGCAGTAGCAAGACTTGCAATTATATTTCCATTAGATCCACTGCATATCACAGTTCCCAGGATGTACTACCATTCTTACTATAATAGTTTTCCACCCATTTAGCAAATAACTTGACCCCAACCTGAATTTCAGTATTTCACTGTCTCATAGTTTTGTTCAACACATATAAGTACAAAACTCTATGAGATCTCAGTTCTACCCAGAAGCCTTTTTTTTTTTTCTAGACTACATTTATCGTTTTTACATTTGTAGTAAGGCAGACCATACATAACTAAATGAGCTTAAGCCAAGTATTCCTAGCAGCTCTTGGATATCCAAATGTATTTGGATAAAGATATTTTTGCAAGTGAAGAAAGACTAAGAGCAATTGGCTCTAATGCTGAGGGTTGGCAACCCACATTTATAAAATACTAGGTATTACATTAAGGCGCAGGATGAAAAGAAAAGCCTTTGGTGTTGGGGTCTTCAGTCATATGGGATTACTTATTATCAGAGGAAATGTATCTCATCAAAATGGCTGAATTAATGTTTCATATTGACATATTAGAAATATCTTTATTAGTATTTACTACAGAATTTAGAATTTAAACTTCGAACGAATTGTGAAAATTAAAATAGCTTTCCTGAAATTTTATACAGTGTAGGAACAGAAGAAGGATACAGTTGCTTTGGAAGCAAGACTGTATATACCTGTAACAGCCAAGACAGAAATTCACATGTTCTGTGAGTTGTCTTTGAAATTGCTACTCACAAATTTAGCTTCCCTCCCTGGCAGCATAATGGAACAGCTATTGAGAAAACAAATTTGCTAAGACACTTCAAAGTCTGCTAGACAAACTTGATTTTTTTAATAGTAATACAAAATTAATGAATAGAGGACAGAAAATATACTGTCACGTTTCTGAGTTTTAACAAAATACTGTTTTCTTTAGGATATTTTAGCACTGATCTTAAAGTGTTCCTGAGTTATTAGGACAGTTTCCACCTTACACTGTGGTTGCAGTAGAGGACTCCTAACTGTGATCTTCTAAATTGAGCCTTAATTAGAAGCCTCTCCTGGATTGTTGATTAGCCTTTCTTCTTCCATCTCCAATGTGTCAAAATTCTGTTCCCAAACTTAAATCAAATTGGAAATTAACTATCATGTTGACTGAAATGAAGGGTGATGACAAACAATAAAGGGCAACCATAAACAATAACTTCAAAGGGAGGCATTTAGTGCAATACACAAAGATTAGTATTACATCTAATCTCATTTAATAGCTTCAATAATGAGCTAGAAGAGGGAGTAAATAGTACATTAATGAAATCTGCAGATCTATTAAACAAGGAGGAGCTGAGCATACAGCTGAAAATAGAGAAATAATATAAGGGGTCATGGGAAGATTAGAAACGTGCAAAATACTGCAACGAGATTCAGTTTAGAACACAGAAAAATAATATTTGGGAAAAAAAAATAAACAGATGGTAACAGGTACAAATCTGGAGAGCTGTAATGCTGGAAGAGATTTAGATAAAATTAAGACCATCGGAACACTAGGCAAGAGTCTGTAACTGAGCAGCAGAGAAAAGCAGTGAAATTTGGGCAAAACTATTAAAGAATAAGCAAAGAAGTAACAGCTCATCTTAGAGCATCTCTACAACTACCAGCTCTCTTCTGCATTTAGTTTGGGCATTGGAAAAACAGACTATCTGTCAGACGTTTAGAGATTTTGCAGCTATGGAAATTTTTCCAGGAAGAAAACTTAAAAGTAAGCCACCCGTTTAACAAAGTGCTGTCCTTCACGAAGTGCATGACAACAGTGAGCCACTGGCTAAAAGTATATTCTCCCACTGCTTCTGGTAATTGCACCATGCAGTTTGAATTTTTTTATATTGCTGAGGAAACTGCTGACACAATGCCAGCTGCTATGAGCTTTTCAATACCAGATATATGTGCACAGTATCTTGGAGAGCTAAAGGACATTGTGTGCAAGTTAATTCCAGCTGAGGAGCTCACACAAATTGATCTTGCTGGGAATAATTCTATACAAGCTATAGTGAGAGTCAAACTAGTGTTATACCACTCCCTGTACAAGAGATGGTTTCGGCAGTTCTGTGCAGCACAGTATTAGGATGAATAGTATGTGTGGAAAGTGAAATTCCATATTGGTCATCAGTCTTCAAAAGTCCTTGGTGGCTCCTAGCTGTTGAAGACATTGTCCTTTATTGCAGAGTGCCTTCACAGGGTATTTTTAAGTGGGCTTGGTCACTCAGAAGTTTGTCACTGTCACTACATTGTGACCCAACACTGAGTAGGGCATTGATCCACAGCTTTAAATTTGCACACTTCAGTAGAAAACCTGGCAAAAGGCCCTTCACGTAAAACCATGCTCTGTTCATTCCTATCTGTGGCATGGCCTGCTGTTCCATGTTGCTGGATTGTTCACCTTTTCAGTGAACAAGCTTGAAAAAATAACGAGCTGTCATGCAAAAATTCAGGATGAAAAAAGAGGAGCGGAAATATATGAAAACCAACATAAAAATATCAGAAGCACAGACATATCCCCTGGTCCCCTGTGGATGCAACTTGCTTGCTGAGTCAGTGCCCCTTTACTGCTATTTCAGGGAGACCGGCCTACGTTTCCCAGAAATTGAGAGTTTAAAGACATTGGTAGAAACTACCTGCTGGAAAACTTGCTTGGTATGATTTTGCCAGGAAAATATCTGCTGTACCTAATCATATTGGCTGCAACTGGTCTGAATGAAACATCTGAATGATTTTAAACTAAACTTGTTAATATTTTTAAAACAGAAGGCAAAGAAGTCTCACTCGTGTGAAAGCAGTCTGGTTTCCCTATTTTTATCATGAATTTTTAGGCTATTTCACTGCACAGCTGAATTTTCAAAATTATGTACATATATAATCTTCACTGCACATAGCAAGCTCTGCTTTAAAACCAGAATGCCCCATTTTCTTACAGTATGTAGACTTCAAAATCCCAGGACCTTATCCAAGGGTTTCCCCACTCTTGAGCATCACTTAAGCATCCATATGAACACAGATGTAGAGGTCAAATTTGGCTCTTTTGAAAATGTAGGCCCAGTATCTGGTATTTTTGATGCTTCCAAAACTTCTCTCTTGTTAACAGCTACATCATATTAACCCTTAGAAACCTTCATATCACTTGGGCTTTAGTCCTGGGAAATGATATTATTCTCCCAGTCTAACCTTCACAACTTACGTATTTCACAGCACAGCACAGATTTTTTTTTCTTGCTTCTGACCCCACATGCCATAAACAAGAAGAAGACAAAGCAGGGCAGGGCTTTCAAAGCTTGTAGCCCCTGCCCCATGGACACAGCTGCCCACAACCACTGCATTCCCAGGAGGGAATAATGAACCTAGAAAATTCTTAACACCTTCTTTTTTTTTTTTTCCCTATCAAGTTTTTTATTATTATGAAACACACATAGAAAACTAGGAAAGGATTCTGCTCAGGCCGCTTTTATACTGGGGATATATTGACTAAAGCAAATTATTTCAACATTTACGATATGTATTAATTTCTGTAAAGTCTCACATTTTGTTTTCAGAATCAGCTAGAAATAGTGTGACTAGTTTTTATAGCAGTGAAACTGTGTCTTTCAATTTCTTTCCTTACACAAGCACTATTTCTAATGTCACTGACTATGACTAATAACATTGACTATGACTTTAGCAAATATGCTTGAGAAGCCTCTTCCACCAGTCAAGATTAAGAAATCCCATTATATTAGTGCATTTACATAAAGTTCACTTCCCTATATCAGCAATATGGAA